ACTCCAAGGGACTGTTGAACCTCCAGGTACTCTTAGGAATAGGTTTTCTTGCTGTCTACCTTCTATATCACAGAAAAGGTGAAAACTCTTCCTAATGCCCAGTGTCAGAATACTGAAGACTGCATAGGTATACATAGGACCCAATGATGGACTCTTGTCTGTATTGTGAATATTAAAAGTCTTTTGGTGGCTTCCTTAATAAAACCAAGGTGCTTCAGTTTATTTTTCTTGTCTTTTGCATTTTGAAGACTCATAAACCTACATCCTGAGAGACTCATAAAATTGTCTTTAGAAGCAGAGTTGTTTCAGGACAGGTAATTGATGACAGAATCTGGCTTTATAGCAACAATTACAGACCCTAGTTGGAAGGAGGTGAATTATTTACTTATCTATGTGCATGTTGAATCCCTCTTCTCTATCCCATACTCCCCTCAAAATTCCTTGAGAGTACAAACTATTTCATTTATCTCTTTGTATGTTCAATGCCCAGGTCAGTGCTTAATATGTTTGTCAAATTGAATTGTATGGATGGGCTATAGAAATTAAAGGTGGCAATACAAATCTCTTCATTGCTAAATTTGTTGGCCTTTTCTCAGTCTTCATTCTTAACTTATCTGCAGCTTTTGACACTATTGACAACCTCCAACACTCTCTCCCCTCGTGGTTCCCCTAAAACTTAACCCTCTCCTGCTTTTCCTTCTTCCTCTCTTCTCAGTCTCCATTAATGGGTCATCATCAGTGCCCTGTCTATTAACCACCTATGTCTCCCAAAGCTCTGGCTGGGCTCTTTTCTCTCTCTCAGTAATGTCATGAACTTCTGATAGTTTAAAATCATGATTTTACAAATTCCTCCCAGATCTTTATAGCCAGATCTTATCTCTCCCCTGAGCAGCAGCTCTTCACACTGAATGCTTGTTGAATCAATGCCTTGTAGACATCTCAACCTCAACTGGGTGTAGGTCATCAATCAACAAACATTTCCTAAGGTCCTCCGTGCAAGCTGTTGAGAATACATATTCAAAAGTAAGGCAGTCCCTGTCCTCAAGTTGCTTACATTTCATTGGGGATATATAACATGTTCACAAATTACTAACTATTGGATTACATACAAAATAAATACAAAATGATGGGGGAGTGGAGAGGGTCCCTACAACTGTGGGGATCAAGAAAGGCTTACAGGTTGCTAGGAGGCAAAGTGGATAGAGAGGAGGACCTGAGTTCAAATGAAGCCTCAGACACTTGGCACCTATTTTGTGACCCTGGGCCAGTCACTTAACCCTGTTTGCCTCAGTTTCCTCATCTGTAAAATGAGCTGGAAAGGGAAATAGCAAAACTACTCAAGTATCTTTGCCCCTGGGGAGATCATAACGTCAGACACAACTAATCAACCCCCCCCCCAAAAAAAAATTGACCATGAGCTGAGTCATGATATCAACCAAGCTATTTAATGGAATCCTGGCTTTCAAGCACAGAATTCTGTGATGATAAGGAAATATCTAAGGGAGGAGACTAAGAGAGCAGGAAGTAGGGAATAAGCATACATATGGTATTATAGTGCCTACTCTGTGCTAGGTACCATGCTAAATACAACCCTACAAGGTAGGTGCTGTTATTATCTCCCTTTTATAATTGAGGAAACTGAGACAACCTGAAGTTAAGTGACTTGTCCAAAGTCACATAGCTAACAAGTGTCTGAGGTTAGATTTGAACTTAGGTCTTCCTGACTCCAGGTACTTCAGGGTGAAAGGGTGAGGGGGAGCCTTGAGGAAGGAAAGAGGTGGGGAGCTTGTGAGGAGTGACATAATCAATTAGGAATGTATAAAAAGATTGCCTGGTGGTGGTGAGGAAAAAATATTCTGACACTTAAAACCCAAGCATCAGAAAAATCATGATTATATGTGTACTACATAATTTGTGTCAATTTATCCTCTAAGCTCTTACTATCTTTGTCAAATGCAGTTTTAATGCAAAAAAAAATCCATATTCCAGTATTTCCCTTTGAGGTTCGGAATGATGAAATATTGTTGATTGATGAGTTATATCCAGAAAGAGCTCTCCCTCCTCTGGAAGCAAGACCAGTATAATCTACCCTTTTTACTCCACCATACTGCAAATACCAAATTGGAAAGGGCTAAGAAACTAGGGTACCATACAACATAATGTTTTCACACAATATAAACTTCTGTGGTTGTGCCCTAAATAGAGAAATAAACCTTGATTGATGGAGGAATATACTAACTTCTGTCAAGCTAAGACTTCAGGGTTTGTTTGTGTTTTTTCCATTAAGTTTTTAGATCCTAAGAAGTTATGGAAATCACTTTATTTCCCTTCCACTTAGGAAATCAGTAGAGCAGAGGTGGCAGAACACTAGCAGCACCAGATTAAAATATAATTGGGAAATATTTTTTTAAAATAAGTAAAAATACAGTTACTGACAGGGATCCTTATGTATGGTTTAGAGACCCTGATTTTTACTTGAGTTTGATACCACTGCTGTAGGGGACCTCTGTGCTACAGAGGCAGTAGCAGGAGTTAAGAAAGGCAGCACAGGGAGTAACAGAGACTTATTTGTGGATCCTGCAACGCTAAGAAACTCTTTAGAGTAGAAGTAGAGCTGAAATTGACCCCATACTTTCCCTTGAAATGGTTTCCAAACCTAATCAGCTATCCACAATCTTGAGGGAATAGGGATGTGGTCCCAGTGTGAACCTGAGGACTTCAGATTGATTGGTTGGGGAATCCTAATGTAAGGCATTTATCCTAGCTTGATTTTCAGACATAAAAAAACTTTAAAAGGTCACTTTGAATTAGGATTTGACCACAAAGGTACAAAGGCAAAGTCATTTAATACTCTGAAACCTTGTCATACATAAATTCAGTAATGTGAAATAAGATTCTGAATGGACTAGTGAAATAGAACAGTGCTAGCTGTAAAGTAAGTATTATTTCTACCATCTATACTTCCTGTGCTCCTAATCATGTGTGTCTGAGTGATGCTGAAAAATCTACTGGGCCAATTACAAATTTATGTTTGTCTAATATCAATGGGGCCCTCTCTTCAGGAAGGCAATCATTTTATTCTTTCAAATTGATTACCTACCTCATTCCCCCCAGATTTTACTCTATTCCATACCTTCTCTTCTTTCCTCAAGCCTCTCACATCATACCCATTCTTCTCACTCTCTCAGCTGAAAACCTCATCTTATACTTCGCTGAGAAAATATAGTTTCATTTGCTCTGTGCTCTTTTCTCCTCCACATTTCAAAACCCCTCTTCTATTAAAACCCCTTTACTCCGTTCTATGTTCCTGCTCTTTACTAAGATCTACTTAGTTTTCATGAATCTCTGTTCCCATTTCCTCCCAGTCTTTTCTAGCAGACTGCTGCCATAGGCATCCCTTTTCTCTACCTAATCTTCATTCACTACTGCTGCCTACCAACATACTCTATCCTTTAAAATAAAATTAAAAATCCAAAAACCCACTCATTAAACCTCACCAATCCCTCAAGCCTTTCTTAGTCCTCATCTTTCTTGACCTCTCTGTGGCATCTGACAAGAGTGCACCACCCACTTTACTTGGATATGTTCTCTCTTTTCTGGATTTTATTGACACTGCTGTCTGTTGTTTCACCTCTTACCTGTATGTCTTGGCTCCTTCCCTGTCTCTTTCTCTGGCTTCCAGGGTGCCAGGGCTTGTATTAAGTGGCTATAGATACAAATAACTGTCAAAGGTATCCATGGTTCAGGGACTTAGACAAAGCCTGTTTCCCAGCAAGAGACAGGGATGTTTGTGTGATATTCAATAATTGTGAAGTAATTACAATTGTAATCACTGTAATTCAGTAATTGTAAATTGTCTGTCAATGGTCATCTCATATTGCAATGCCCAGTATAACTACAGAGATGTCTGTCTTTCATGTCACCACCTTCGTCAATGAATTAGCTTTGGGTGCAGAAATTCCTAGTTATGGCTCTGTATGGCAGGCATGAGTATGCTATGGTGTATTTGCTAATGAAGAATCACATAAGAGAAGCAAGATTTATGACCAGAAATTGAAGGACTTGGTCGTGTAATGAGACTGAGAACTGATAGGTGGCTCCTATCTAGGGTTCTTGACCTAGTATCAAGGAATCTTGAGGAAGACCGCTACCACCACCACCACCACCATGTTGGGTCAGCTTCCTGCAGAGACTTACAGGGGAATAGCAACAAAAGTTGCACAGCTTGAGAAGGTATAGCAGGATGTCATATTCGGTTTTTCACTGTTGGAGAGATCATCTGCACTGAGGAGATTGTGGTTCCATTTAAGTATGCAAGTGTATATTATGAGCTAACACAACTCAGAATACAGTGCTAGTTGGAAAATGCATCTTTATGTCTGGGAGCTGCTTTCCAAAAAGTGACACAGATAGATTTTTGTAGCATTTGGTACTTCCAAAGATTTAGTTCATTTGATATAGTCTTCATGAACCATAAAGATAATCCATTCACAGAGCCAACAAATAAAAAAATCATTGGTGTTGTGTGCCTGAAAAGTTTGTAATCATTTATTGTGTTCTCCTTATAGTGAGGCTGTGTCAGTGATATGCGGACCAGCCAGCGCTTGTGAAAGCTGCCAAAATACCAGTGACTTCCCTTGTTACATAATATTTCCATGAAGCTGGGTAGGGGAGTGGAATAATCAGGCTGTTGTCATTTGTCCTTCATTAAGTGAGACCCTCTAAAGGTTCCATATGAAGAGGGCCTTCTTCTAGTAGTGTAAAGTTTGCCAAGGGCCAACAACCTGAAAGATTTGCCACAAACTATTAAAAAACAGTAACCCTGAATACAAGAATTAGTTATATAACCCTATGTATTTTGTCAATAAGGAATTGTAGGAGAGAATTTGTAGTGTGTATCAATAGAATTTACACATATAGTCACTCCTTAATGCATTCATTTTTATATACCCTTCCTTTATCTATTTATCTATCTATTTATCTGTTTTTATTTATTTTAGATCATGGGGAATTCATATGCAGGGCAACTGAAATCTGCCCGATTTGAAGAAGCCCTTCATAATTCAATAGAAGCATCCCTGAGATGTAGTAGTGTTGTACCAAGGCCAATTTTTTCTCAGCTCTATTTGGACCCTGACCAGCACCCCTTCTCTCCTGCAGGTAAGCTCCCCAAACTCAATACCAATATGGTGGTCTTCCTTGGTCTTAAAAGACTTAGGGGTTACAGTGTTGGAGGTTTCTGAATCAGTCACTTGAAATTGTCTCACTTTCCTGAGACATGTCTTCTAGAGGATTTTATTTTTTGCTGGTATTTTTTCCCTCAAGGCATTTTTTTCATCGAGTCCCAGTATGATGTTATCTACAGTTTGTTTGCTTACTCAGATGTCAAGCCCAAAGTGGAAGATCTGGATAAAGAACTGGTACACCGCTACACTCAAAATGGGAGTTTGGACTTTTCTAACAACCCAACTGTTAATGAAATGGAAGATGAAGATGAAGATGAAGAAATGTCAGATTCAAATAGCCCACCAATTCCCTATTCACAAAAGCCTGCCCCAGAAGGGTCTTGCACTACAGATGGTGAGTTTTATTTTCTTTCTCTTTTATTTGATTCTTCTATTAGATTATTAGTTTCTGATCATAATGGATATATGTTGGGAATTTATGGGAAATAAAGTGATTGGCTTGCATATAGATTTTTTAAAAATATACTGCTCAAAGAAATTGTAGCAACAGTAGCAATGATAATAGATCGTGTTTATATAGCATTTTATCGGGCAGCTAGGTGGCACAGTGGAGAGAGTACTGGGCTTGGAGTCAGAAAGACTCCTTTTTTTTTGTGAGTTCAAATCTAGCCTCAGACACTTACTAGCAGTGTGACCCTAGGCAAGTCACTTAACCCTGTTTGTCTCAGTCCTCAATCTGTAAAATGAGCTGGAAAAGGAAATGGCAAATCACTCCAATATCTCTGCTAAGAAAACCCCAGATGAGGTGACAGAGAGTCATACATGACTGAAGAACAACAGCATGTATCATTTTGAAGTTTATGAAACATCTGTTTCAGAATAATCCTGGGAAGGTTGGTAAGGCAGGTGATATTATCTTCCCTTTTACAGTTAGGAAAACTGAGACTCAAGGAGATTATGGATAGATAGTAGCAGAACCATTAACCCAGGTCTTATGAGTCTGTGCCCAGAACTTTTATACCAGAGTTTCAACCCCTGCCCTCCCTCCCAGCCACATGAGGCCACAGTACATCTGAGTGCTGCTGGATCCAGATTAAAATGTAATTGGAAGATATTTTAACAAAATAAGTAAAAATACAATAAGACAGAGATAACATTATATTTTAAAACTAAGTCAATATGCAGCACGTAGGGATCCCCATGTATAGATTAGTGGCTTCTGTTTCTATTTGAGTTTGCTACCACAGCTTTACACTATACATAGGAATTCTATTTTATTAGGAATGCCTTACCTGTCTTTGGCAGGTTGCCTCCCCCCAAAAAGTATACTAATGTAGCACCCTTCCAGGACTACTCAGGATCTCCAGAGAAGTGACCAACTACTCCAATCAGTCCTCAACTTTTGCTGGTATAACATTCCTAGAAAACAGTGCAAAAGTAAAAAAAAGTGAATTTTGATACATTGAACCTATGGGAAATGGAGGGTTAGGATCCCAACACCTCCAAAAACTGTAATCTTTCACTAGAGATTGCTGAAAATATACAGTTCCTTATAACAGAATATTAATTCTGATAATACATGTTTCCTAACTTAGTAACCACAAAATAACCCATAAAATACAGTACACAAAGTAAAATTGGTAACATGCAAAACATTTTTCTTGATAGTAATTTCCTAGGATTGTGTGACATTTTGTGCCAGTATTTCAATAAAAAATATTGATTTCAGACAATATTTGCTTTTTATAGCACGTGAAATCTATAATGCTGCAAGTATTTTCCTCCTTTTTGCGGATATAACAAATTGTCCATTCATTAACACTAAACTCATGGCCCACAGCTACTGATATTCTGGCACGAAGTTTATGTTATACCTTTATTTTCTCACTAAGCTGCTTGATTAACTTTACTCGATTGGGCTTAGAATCCAAAGGACTTGCCCCATGGTTTGAGAGCATAATTACCACACCAAACTTGAGTTTTAAAGGCAAACCATGAAAATATTCAAGGAATGCACAGGGAGCTCTTTACAGTGGTTGAGTGAACAAGACCAATGAAGCACCTAGCAGCTACAAGCTGTTCCACAGACTTGTGTACATTGAGTCTTTCATTCTTTTCTCTACTGCACATAGCCATGATTGTGCATGGTTGCCAATGCAAAAGTGAAAATGAAGTTACTAATAAAATCATAGGGACACTTGAAGTCATTGAAGTTAAGCTCAGGAATGTTGAGGATTGACTGTACCTCCATTTTGTTAGTCTGTATTCCTTAAACTGTAGCTGGTGAGCCCCTACCAGTGAATTTATGTTTATTAGCTAATCAGCATAGTTAACTCAAAGCAAGGGATTTACCAAGATGGCATGGTAAAGACAGTAGCTATAAAACATTTCTCTCATAAATTTTGGTTGCCCTATCACATAAAAATATACAACATTAGTAGGAAGAGTAGAAACAAATTTAGAGTACATTGTTAGTGAGGAATCATATGTAACCAAAGCACCTCAACTCTCCAATATTCAAGAGCCTAATGTCCTTTCTCTTCTCATGGTTTTCTGACTCTGCTCTCCCCTGGGCATAGCATCTTACTGAGCAGATCACTCAGCTGTCTTCCTGTATCTCTTCATCCACAGTTCAGCTCTTGACTGCTCGGGCTAATCCCCTCTTGAATCCATAGCCAGGCTTCTTCTGATCTATGAAGAAGCTTCCTAATTCAAATGCCACTTCTCAGTGTCTGTGGCAGGTGGCACATGGGAGAGTATGTCTTTGCCCTCTGCCTCAGGTTGCTCTTTCCAGATATGCTCTCTGTTAGATGTAATATCTCCTGCTAGGAAAGTGATTCTGCTGCAAGATACCTTACCTCAATGTCAGGAGTCGGGATGGAGGAGATTAAATTCCCACCATTCCTACCCTAGGAGATGCTGTATGTACACCTGTACAGTATGTACAGCACAATGTACAAAGCTGTTCCTTTCTTCCACTGACTTAAATTCTGAACCTTCCTGATCTTCTCCAGGGCTTGGAAGGCTTAGTTTTTTAAAGACCTTAAGGGATGTGGCCAAATTTCTCTTAACCAATAGCCAACTGCCCTTAAAATTTAAGCAGAAGATTCCTTCACACTTCTTAAAGGGATAATGGACTGGCTTTATACTTCACTATCATATTAATACCTGGTTACTTCTTATCTGCCCCATGTTTTCCATTATTACATCAATTTTCTGTTGGAGGAGGAGCAAACCTCCCCTTCCCCACTAAAATCATAGTGATATCAGATATTTTGCTTTTACCTTTTGCACATTATGTTTTCTTTTAAGTTAACTGGATGATCTCTTATAATAGTGGGAATGGAAATAATTAACTTTGTGAAGTAGGTTGAGTAAGTATTGTTATCATAATGTGGAAATAGCCAGGTGGTGCAGTGATACAATTCTGGAGACAGGAAGACCTGAGTTCAAATCCAGCCCTCAGACATTTATTAACTGTGACTTTGAAGTCACTTAATCTTTGTCTGCCTCAGTTTCCTCATCTGTAAAATGGAGATAGTAATCGTCTCAACTTTCCAGGATTGTTGTGAGGATAAAATGAGATAATGTTTTTAGGGATCTTCACAAACTTTAAAGTGATGTACAAATTCTAGTCATTATTCTACATATGGAGAAATTGATGCTAAATGTTGTAAAATTATTTGCCCAAGGTCACATGCTAAATAATGGTAGGATTAAGACTTGAACCTAGGACTTCTGACTCTGTCTAGAGCTTTTTTTCCATTATACCACAACTCCCTCCCGAATTTTAAAAATGTATTACTGTCCATCTATTCTCCTGCCAAACGTTTTGCCTTAATTCTAGCAGGAGTGAAAAGGTCTGCTGTAAAGTGCTTATATAGATCATGTATTTGTCTATACTTCAGGTCAGATTATATCTCCCTCCCAACCCCCCATCATTTAGTGTCATATATTTCAGCTGCCTATTATAACATGGCCTTGGACAAAGTGACTACAGTACAACCTCATGTATCAAATTAATTGGAATTAGCCATAGTTATTCAAGGAGTCTTAGAATCCTAGAGTTAGAAAGAACCTCATTGATTTTCTAGTCCATCTTATACTAAAGCATGAATCCCAACAACATGCTCGGGAAGTAATCATTGGTCTCTATATGAATGCCTGCAAAAATAGAGAAGTCACTACTTCATGGACCAGCTAGTTTCCTTTTCAGAAAGCTCAGATGGTAACTAAGTCCTTCCTTATACTAAGCACAAAATTGGATTCCTGTGGCTTCCCCCATTGGTCCTTGTTCTGTCCTTTGGAGTCACACTTTGATAAGAAAACAAAGCATGGATCAAAATGAAAATAGGGATATGTGAACATCTGGAAAAATATCTTTGGATCCTTCCTTGCAGAGCTTATGCTGCAAAACAGTTGGGATGAACTTTAATAAGGAAGGCCAGAAAAATTAGACCTGTATTATAATTAGAATTTTATCTGATTATCCTGTCCCTCCTTGTACACTTTGTCATGAAGAAATAAAATAGCCAGAAGACAGGTGGAAGATGGGACCTCGGTAATCCTCAAAGTAGATAATTAAATTATTAAATTTTATGTGTAATTAAAATCTGGCACTATTAAATGTGTATCAGTAACCCACAGTATATGGAGCTACTGTACTCTTAAATAGTCCTTCTCCTTTAGAAATGACTTTTTTCTTTTAGTCCTACTTCCAAGTATTAATGATTAGGCTTAGGATTATTGTTGATTAGTCAGAATTTCTTCAACACAGACTTTAGGAGGGAGTTGTGTTCCACACTAGTCAACATGGTCAGTAGTTAATTAATTATTATCTGTGTAGAACAGGCTACGAATCTTGATACATAGCCTTACCTTGAAGTTACCTAAGGAAACTGGAGGTAAGGGTAACAACAGTTACTTAACTGATAACGAAAGTGAGAAAGTGGGAGGCAAAATGTTTTCCTGAGGATAAAGTCAAGCACAGAATCCAAATTGAGAGCTACCTTAAACTCTGGTCTTCAACTTAGATTCCTTCAGGCACACACCGGGAACCATCAAACCCCTTTGTTTGAGATTCCTTTTCCCTAGGTTTCCTGGTTTGAAATTTTTCGCAAGTAAATTTTGTACCTTTTAAATGAGACATTTGGTTGAGGCTTGCCCAAGCTAGACTATCCTCATTGCAAGATTGCTAATTTCCTATAATTACTTAAAAATTATTTCAGAAGAGAAATGCTACCCATACAGCAGTACTGTCATTTTGATCGTTAAAAGTAGCAATAAATGAAAGGTAATCATAGTGACTAGTAGTGATTAAGAAGAGCCTCAGCTTTACCAGGAAACCTTCTATTTACCTAGGGCATAAAGACCATTTTTGGAGGCAATTAGATA